TCGATCTTCTTCTCCGTTATTCTTAGATTCTGGATCTGGAATTGTGAGATTCTCTGTTTCCACACTACTCTTTAGATTCAAGGTTGTGTTGTGTTCCAGATCGCACGATTTGGATTGTGATCTTCATATAGAGGTAAGCTTTGTTCTACTCATTTTTCGTGGTTGGATTTAGATTTGGTGAACAAGTTGGACTTTGTAAAATAATAAATAAATAAAAATTTCAGCTTGGGTAATTGAGATTTGAGTCAAATGGTTTGGTTTTTTGTGGAGTGTAGAGATTTCGGTTTTGGTTGACTGTTCATTGACTTGTTCTTCTTCTTGGCTTTTATTATTGAGATTTTATTAAAAAAAATAATAATTTGGTTTTAAGGTAGCTGGTGTTTTGAATCTTCTCTTCTTAAAAGTTGTTTATCTGTTTGGTTTTGGTAGGAAATTTTTTATGTTTGTTGATGAGGATGTTCGTCTGAAATGTTCTGATTCTTTATAAATTTAATTATTTTCAGAATTTATTTAGATCCGTTTGTGACGGGTTTGATCTTTGAGTCTTTGTTTTTGGTAAATCTTCTGACTTTACGTTTGTTTTCAATGTCAATTCTATAGGAAGAGTAAATTTGTTTCCTTTTTTTTTTATGGTCAAATTTTTATTAATGATATTCCTTGTTTGCTAATTCTTCTGATTTGACCAATACTTCTTTATATAATTCAAGCATATACGTTATTGATTGATTCAAACAAGTAAGCCTTTCTCTTTTGGTTTTGTTCAATTTCAGATCTTTTTTTCAAGTATGTGTGGTCTTTCTAAGAAGCTGGATACTGGGAAATCAATTTCAGATCAAGAGAATGATTCTTCGGACAAACCCATGAATGATGCTGAGTGGGAACATTCGTTTTCTGCTTTACTCGAGTTTGCTGCAGACAACAATGTGGAGGGCTTTAAGCGGCAACTCTCTCTTGTCTCTTGTATCAACCAGGTGGGTCTCTGGTACAGACGCCAGAGGTTTGTTAGAAGGATGGTTCTTGAACAGAGAACCCCGCTGATGGTTGCTTCGATATACGGAAGTTTAGATGTTGTTAAGCTTATTCTTTCTTTACCGGAAGCCGAGTTGAATATGTCTTGCGGTCCGGATAAAAGTACTGCTCTTCATTGCGCTGCTTCTGGTGCTTCTGTGAATTCCTTGGATGTTGTCAAGTTGCTTCTGAGTGCAGGAGCTGATCCTAATATCCCCGATGCTCATGGGAATCGTCCTGTGGATGTTCTTGTTGTGTCTCCGCACGCTCCTGGTTTGAGAACCATCTTTGAAGAGATTTTGAAGAAACACGAGATTATATCTGAAGATCTGCATGCGTCGACATCTAGCTTGGGGTCAAGTTTCCGGTCTCTCTCATCATCACCAGATAACGGCTCCTCTTTGCTCTCTTTAGATTCAGTATCCTCTCCGACTAAGCCAAACGGTGCTGATGGAACTTTTGCATCAGAGAAAAAAGAGTACCCGATTGATCCTTCATTGCCGGACATCAAAAGTGGGATTTATTCGACTGATGAGTTCCGTATGTTCTCGTTCAAGATCCGCCCATGTTCTCGAGCTTATTCTCATGACTGGACTGAATGTCCATTTGCACACCCAGGTGAGAATGCAAGGAGGAGAGATCCGAGGAAGTTTCACTATACCTGTGTCCCATGCCCTGATTTTAAGAAGGGCTCCTGTAAGCAAAGCGATATGTGTGAATATGCTCATGGGGTGTTTGAATGCTGGCTACACCCTGCTCAATACAGAACCCGATTGTGCAAAGACGGGATTAGTTGCAACCGAAGGGTTTGCTTCTTTGCTCATGCAAACGAGGAGCTGCGTCCATTGTACGCTTCCACAGGCTCTGGATTGCCATCGCCTCGGTCTTCTTCTTCTGTTTCCGCCTCTACTATGGACATGACTTCAGTTTTGAACATGTTACCAGGCTCACCATCTGCTGCAGGGCAACATTCATTCACCCCACCAATCTCTCCTTCCGGAAATGGTATCATGCCACATTCATCGATGGGTTGGCCTCAACAGAACATACCAGCGCTGCATCTTCCTGGAAGCAATATCCAGTTGAGCCGTCTGAGATCTTCTCTTAACGCTAGAGATATTCCTTCTGAGCAGCTTAGCATGCTGCAAGAGTTTGAATTGCAACGTCAGCTTTCTGGTGATATGCACAGTCCGCGTTTCATGAATCATTCTGCTCGTCCCAAGACCCTGAACCCTTCAAATCTGGAGGAACAGTTCTCAGCCGAGGTTTTATCCCCTCGTTTCTCTGATCAGCTTGCGGTCTCGTCTGTTCTATCGCCTTCCCACAAATCTGCACTTCTAAATCATCTGCAGAACAATAAGCAGAGCATGCTTTCTCCTATCAAGACAAATCTAATGTGTTCTCCAAAGAATGTGGAGCAACATTCTCTTATGCAGCATGCTTCATCGCCTCGAGCAGGGGATCCTATTTCCCCAATGAACTCTCGAATGATCCAGCAGGTACATTCACGTAGCCTTAGCTCCCGTGATTTTGGATCCAGTCTGCCCCATGATTTAATGCCGACTGACTCTGGCTCGCCACTAAGTCCGTGGTCAAATTGGGACCAGACCCATGGAAGCAAGGTGGATTGGTCGGTACAATCAGATGAATTAGGACGGTTGAGAAAATCACATTCCTTGGCTAATCATAATAGCCAAAACAGGGAAGCAGATGTTTCTTGGGTTCAGCAGCTGGTAAAAGATTCTGCATCGCCTAGGAACAGCAACCGAGTGGTGAACATGAACGGTGGGAGGCCATTGGTTCAAGGTGGTTCGAGCGTGAACCCTCACAGTGACGGTCGTGAGAGTGACATGATTGATGCGTGGCTTGAGCAGCAGCAGGATCGCTGAGTCGGGGGGAGAGAGGTTTACATCACTGTGAAGCTGCGAAACTGATGATTCGTTTATTTATTATTCAAGAAAGCAAACGGAAAGGCAAATTTCCGGGTAAGCTTTTTGCGATTCTAATAACCCTAAAAGGCTCAGTTTTTTCAGGCTTCTTTTCTGAAATTCCATTACTTTTTTAATTTTTAATCACCTCATTAAATTGATTATTGTCTCTGTTGTTGTATCAAAAGGCCAAAGTGTTCCTCTTTGCCTCTATTGTTTCCCTCATCTCTGATCATTTTTTGTTTTCTAGTTTATGATCAATTGTTTCTAATGTCTCATTCATATTTTGTCAAAGCAACATTTTATGAGAAATAATAACATATATTGTTTTATCAGCTAATAGGATTCATTCATTTCCTTTTGGTTTATTCTGTTTTATGTGTATTCAATCATGGGTATTATTATTCGAACTACTTTATTAAGACATTAACTTTTGCTGGGTCGGTGGTGCAATTCTCTCGGTTGCGGATGTGGAAGTAAAGCGAGTGTGAAGTAAAGTGGTGGTCTCACTTGAAAACAAAAAGTCAAGACGACAACAAACAAAATTGATGCAAGTTAAGAGATTTGCTTACACCTCAAAATGTGTGTGAGAGAATAAAAATCGCAGAAAATCTCTGCTAAATCCTTTAAAATCTTTCTGAAATCTGAATCTCAAAGTCATTCCGAGAGACTATGTGTGTGTGTGGTGGTTCTTACCACAAGCCGATAAACTTCCACCAGGCACCACCTACACCAAGCCAGATAAGAATGTTGACTATTGAAATCAAGAATCCATAGCCCCACCATTTAGCCAGCGGCACGTAGTTAGCCCCGTAGAAGATAGGCGCAGACCCGATACCATAATGGGTCAATCCTCCCATCAGGTTCGAAAGAAACGCAAGAACCAAGGCTGCAAAGTAAGGTGGAGTGCCTAGAGCGGTTGAGACGGATAAGAAGGCAGTGAACATAGCTCCAATGTGCGCGGCTCCACTCGCAAAGAAGTAGTGAGTGTAGAAATACAAGAGGACGAGAATTCCAAAAGATAGTTGCCATGACAAACCCAATCCTCCAACAAACTGCAAATCAAACCCAAACAAAGTCAAAACATTTCATTAGCAATTTGCTAAGTCATAATTTTAAGCATCCATTCATATCATTAACAAACCTTGACTACGGTCTGGCTGAACCACTCAATGAGACCGTATTTGTTAAGATAACCAGCCATCGCAATAAGAGCAGCAAACCAGGTGAGCGTGTCCCATGCGACTGACTCAGCTAAGCACTCTTTCCATGTCACAACACCGGTCACAAGAAGGACGGATAATCCAAGAATGGCTGCAGTCACAGCATCTACACCCAACTTAGCTCCGAAAATCCACAGACCAACCTGTGTCAAGAAGAGAACTTGCTTAGAGAAGTAAAAATCTTGTGTCTACTAAAACACCAAAACCAGAACATTTTCAACTAAGCTGAAATGGCTATAGTTCTTAGTGACACACTGTCAAATGTTGTACATGCAAAGCCAGAGAAGTATTTAGCAAGCATAAGAACAAAACCGATGAAGCAGAAGGAAGCAGTGTACCGTTAGAAACAAAGTTGCAGCCATAATCAACTCGTTCTTGGACATAGGTCCCATCTTATCAAGCTTTTCCTGAGCCAGCTTCGGTGCATCAGGGCTGCTTTTCACCGTAGGAGGATAGATAATATACAAAATAAACGGAACAACAATCAGAGACACAATCCCTGGAACAATCGCAGCTTTAGCCCAATCAGTCCACCCAATCGTCAGCTTAATCGTGTTGAACGCAAGATTAGCACTCAATGGATTAGCTGCCATAGCCGTCAAGAACATAGAAGAAGAGATCACAGAAGTCTGGAAACAAGTGAGCATCAGCCACGACCCAAGACGGTGCTCAGTTCCATCTCCAACGTTGCTACCACAAGCAACGCAGAGAGATTTCACAAGCGGAAGGAAGATTCCACCGGCACGAGCCGAGACTGAAGGAATCGCCGGAGCTAATAAAGCTTCACTGAAGACGAGACTGTAACCAAGCCCAAGCGAGGAGCTACCGAAGAGTCTTACGAACTGGTAAGCAACACGGTTACCGAGGCCAGTCTTGATGAATCCACGAGCGAAGAAGAAAGCGAGAGCGATAAGCCACGGGATCGGATCTCCGAAGGCAGAGAAAGCAGCGGTGAACGTTAGGGTTTTGGTGAGAACGGAAGCTCCTAATCCCAATAAAGCCACTGCTCCGAGTGGAAGCGGCTGAGTGATGATCCCGACGATCGTAGCGAGGAAGATCGCGAGTAATTGCCAAGCGTTGCGAGTGACTCCTTCAGGAACAGGAACGAACCATAGAATCAAACCAGTTGCGATCGATGCGATAAGCGGCTTAATCGCAGCTCCTTGCCATGGCACCGGAGCTGGAGCCAAAGGCGCCGGAGATGATGAGGATGATGCAGCAGCTGCGGCGGTGGAAGAGGCATGAACGATAGTTGTTGATCTCCAGCGGAGAGCGACGGGAAGTGGGGATTTGACAAAGGAACGAAGATTGGAATCGGTAGATCGGAGAGGTTTCAGCAAATTGAGAGAGGAAGAAGGTCGATT